TATAGCATAATTTACACGTGTTGAAAATTGAAGTTTTTTAAAGGGTATAACAAATTTAGAAAGAATTAATAAATAGCATTCCCGGTAAAGGTACAATATCACATTGGTTTTTTCTACCCCAAATAATGGCTTCAATAATGTTGCCTATAATTTTTATATATTTGTACCATATTTTAACTGGCTTTTAGTAATTTTTATATCTAAATTACAGTTTTCTCACTAATAAATTTAAATACATTATTACTTAAGTTTATATTTGAAGTGAATTAATTTGTCAAATCCCGTTCACATGTGCTCTATTCAATTTACGATCAACAAAATTGCAGTAAATGGAGAGGAAAAAACCGTGTGTCGGAAATAGGCTAATCTTAATCTTAAATTCAGAAGTGAAAACAATTTGCACTCCGTCACCACCCACCGGATTAATTGAATTATAACTCTTTTAATTCTGATTTTATCAATACTTGCAATACATTATTTTAAAGGTAATTAAATGAGCTACAACTTTCTCTATCATAAATTTTACCGTAACTTCTCTTATTTTGAAATGGCAAAGGATTGAAGGACTCGAAAGACATTCTGGTTGTACACTATCAATATTTGTGTAGCAGAAAAGTAATAAAAAGCAATAATTGGTCAGTAAAAGACCTTGAATTTTCATTTATATACCTTTATACGTATCTTGTATTTTTTTAAATAGATTTTTTTTCATGGAATCATGAGCTTTTTGGAAATCCTTTGCACTAAAGTTATGGTATTTTCTAGAATCCGTCAAGATCTCTTAAACCAAGTTGATTCCAGAGGGAATACGATTATTTTTAATTTTGGTGGAAATGGCACTCAAAAACTCTTTGCTTTAAACGAAAAAAATATTGTATGCGTCTTTTATCTGCATGATAGCTCACTCATCTTACACGCAGAAGTACTAATTTTAAAGCTTATTTTGAGTACTATATAACCCCATTTTCATATCTAGCTTAATATTGTTCTTAGAACAATTTATAGAACACCGATTTATTAGGATTTTGATTGATATAATTATGTTCATTACATAATTTTCGTTTAAATGTATATTTTTAGAAATAATTGCCAAAAACGATAAAAAACGCAAAAGGCAACAAATTTTCAGTAGCCAGTAACTTAAAAAGTAATTTCTTTTTTGAAAAACATTATTAAACATTTTTCTATTCTAATTAGTTCTTTTATCGATATCCGACGTTAGTTTGAAAGAGATACAATTGAACCACTGAAAAGAGATGTCATCCCCCCGTGAAGTGGCAAATGATTCTAAATTATTTTTACTTTTAAACTTGAGAGTAAGATGAACCTAATTCCAAAATTTCGTGCAAATTGGAGCACATTAAAAATATTCAGACCCAAAATGCTCCATTGTCTTGAGTAAATATTTCGTATCCAATGCCAAACATATGAATTTTTGACACAGTGAAACTTCTAAATAATTGTTTGAATAAATAAATTATTTTTCTATCGTGGTTTAGTAAAGTAAGGCAAAACACGACTGCATTTAAAAGTTAAAAAATAATAATTAGTCAAAGTAAATTGTAGGCTAAATTTTATGTGCGATCACTGACAGACGCATGCGCAGACTGCATCACCTGTCAGATGTTGACTGTATCTTATACTAAATCTTATATTATTTTAATTTTTAGCACATCTCAGCTTCTTTTTGGCAATAATAATGTAGTCCTTACATTTTTCTTCTTCATAATCATAAATATATTATATTTTAATATTGTCTTAGCCTATAAGTGAATGGAAATGTTTGGCAAATGACAGTCGTCTTTTGTTTTTAATGTCAAACTATGCCATAAATATTTTCAAGGGCAAACAATGATAAGCGGTTTTTTGTAATTTTCTCCATTTATTTCTACAATCTAACTATATTTCTATGAATCAAAACATTTTAAAAAATTTCCCGAACAAACTTCAGGAAGATTCATAAAAATCCGAATTATAGTTTAGGAGGATTAATGAAACTTACATTGTTACAGAAGAATTTTATATATAAGATATATATATATATATATATATATATATATATATATTTTAATTCTCAAAAATTATTTCTTTTAATATCGAACATAATTCGAATCGATTAAATAATTTTAACTTTGCCATTCAGTTTTTATGCAATTTTTAAAAATATTAGATAATATCCTCCATTCTAACTCCTCTTCATTAAGTTTTGTTCATTTTCAGGCAAACATATTTAAACGTCATCATCCAATTTATAAGCACTTTTAGTTTGTCTATAAATTCGAATAATTAGTTACAGTTTTTATAATAATATATTTGAAAGCATTCAATAACTTCAACTAACAGTACGGGAAGTTTCAGCAATTTGCCTTAAGGCACGATACACCTCTAGTTTTAGTGATTTAATTAATATAGTAAAACTAATAATGTCTAAAAATTTCAAACTCCGTGAGTTTATACATATAACTATAAAATAAATATTCTTGCATTCAGATTTTCTAAAGAATCGTTTCGGGCGCATCGCGCACTGCTTTGCGTCCGAACGAACTCTATGCAATTGCAGGGTACCAGGGTTTGTCGGTTTTCAAAAACCGGTTTTAAAAACCGTTTTTTTGGCGAAAATTATGGAATTCGAAAACTGGTTTCTTCTTGAAGAAGTAACATCCTCCACTCAAACTCAAAAAAAAAGTTTTAAAGCCTAGAAGACACAAATAAAAACGATTTATTAAACGGCTTTAAAAACGATTAAGCATAATTTGGTCGCAAGTATGAGAGTATTTTCTATTTCAGTAGCAATTCGATATACGTTCTCAGTGTTTTGAAATCATATTTTATTAAACAAAAAAAAAAACAATTAGAATGTTTAAAATTAATTAATTAAATTGCTCGGAATAGGCAATACCCGAGTTCAGCTTAATTGTTTTTAAAACTAAAATTGATATTAACAAGTATGTATCAACATGTATCTAATTTATTTTTTTATTTAAAAATGTATTATTTTTATTTATTCGAAAACTTTCCTTTCACTATCATAAAAATAATTTTATTCTTATATGTGAAAATGATGCATGAATGACGTATAATTATTTTCAAAGTTATTTAATCAAGATAAACTATTATTTTTTAGTTCTACTAATTATAATTGAAATAATTTTGTTTACTATCCATAAAATTGAGCTATAAATAAATTTAGTCAAATACTGCTCTAAATCACACTAAATTTGCGGATAAATTACAGAATATTCGAGCAAAAATTTATTTTCTATATAAAATTCGAAAATCGGCTAAAACCGTTTTTTTTAGAAAAATAAAATTTCGAAAACCGGTTTTCTGAAATGCCGGTTTTTGTATAAACCCTACAGGGTACTATTAGCGTAACGCGCGGGTGTACTGGCTCTGTTTTTTTCAATTTTCCAATGTGTTCCACATAATTGATTTGAACAATATTTGCAGTACTTAAAGAAAAAACAACAGGCTTTCGACTAACGCTAATTAGAAAGTGGTCCAACTAAACGCACCATCCGAAAACATCAATTGAAAAATTATTTTGTCAGCTAATAATAAACGATGTTTTGGCATCGATTGTTCTACATAATGTGGTCTGAGTCAATGTGAGTAGAATGACGTAAAAAATTTTTAGATATCTTTTATGGTTACGCCGAAAAGTGAGTTTGAAAGAAGGGGCGACTTTGGCATATTTTCAATGATATCTCGGCCATAAGATGAGGTACAAAGTTCAAAATTGGTATGTCGGTTTTTATCAAATAGACCTATAAATTATTTAAATACCAGGGTGCAGACGATTCTGTATGGCTATGCGCTCATACCCTTTATTTAAAATCCGTACGTTTCGGCTAGCATCTTAGCCTTCATTCAGTAGCAATCAATTTAACTATAAAAATTGAAACTAAATAAATAATATGTAAGAAATTTCATAGAAAAACAACAATGATAAAATATGTATTTTGTAATATCACAAATGGTAAAACACACAAATAAACATGATAACTTAACAAGTTGTCGAAACTATATTTAGTGTTCGGAGTTTAAGAGACAAATGTTAATTTTTTTCTTGAGGCAGTTTTCAGCATATGTTCAAATTTTACGGAAAATTTAAAAAGCAAAATCATTTTTCAAGAAAATTTGACACGCTATTTAGGAACCACGTGTTTGTTTCGTTCAGGGCCGTATTGTCGAAGCGTTTGTTTATGTCCCTGTCGTTATGCACTTGCAAAAACAACCCCTCAGCGAATCTTCTTTTAATGTAAAATTTTTGGATTGAAAAAATCTATATTATGGTTTAATATATTAATATGCTCGGGTAACATCGTCGTAAATTTATAAAATATATAAATAAAAATAAATATAAATATATAAATTTATGTTGTTCGTATATTTTATATAGATTTTAACAATAAGTATAAATTTTGTTTACATTGGTTTACACTTTTTTCAAAGTCTTTTTTTTTAAAAAAAGTAAATTGTCAAAAATTTATAGTTTCTCAAAAATCTAATTCTTTCAAAGTAATTTTTTTTAGAGATGTTAATCTTTTTTAAAAAAAATAATTTTTGGTACGTGAAGTTTTAGCAATTCAAAAATTTAACATTAGCGTAAATCTGAGCACCGACACAAATATTTTACACGACTCTTATATAAATATCATTAATAATTTATAATTGATTTGTTCACTATTTCCATTCATTTATCTTATTCTTTTCAATAAATTAATCTGTTTTCACACTTGTTGATGTTAGTATGTAATCGCGCATTCCTTTTGTTTATATTAAAATAATATCCATTCTTATCGCTTTATCTTCGACACTTAAGACGTGTTTTCAAACATGTCTGTATATATTCACATGTTTAGTACTGTGTCAAACATTGTAATAGATAGTTGGTGTTTTCAAAAATTAAAAATAACTTAAATAAAATATTAAATAATGTATTAGTAAATAATTTTTACTGATTTGAAATTACACTGAAGATGAGTCATACCACGGTCTCGAAACGTCTGTAATTATTAAATAAAGTGTGTGTTAAAAATTTGAGTGTTGTAACGTTAGTTAGTACATTTAAGTCTATCTCAGTAATTTTAGATCAATATTTAATATTAGTCTGTGCTTCTATGAGCGCATAAAGGTTTATCACGATCATGCATATAGAAGCGGGGTTCAATATTTGAGATGCATTCGATCAACTTAATATTTTATAATCCTAAAAATCTTCTTGGCATAAATCTAACTGCACGCTGTCCTCGAGCCGTACGGGGTCCACGTTTAGCTCGTCCTCTTCTATCCAGAGCAACGTACCATGCACGCAAATTGTATGAGCCACGAGTGCAGACTTTTTGACTTATGGAGCACGCGTTGGCGGACATAATGCTACGATACGTGTTGTATCCATTCGTCATTTCCTCCACAAATATTGTTGTATTGCGTAAAGGTTCTTTCTATAAAATAAAAAAAATATTCACTCTGAAAATAGTTAAAGCTACTGCATATTAATATCAAAATACTATGTTACTGTTACCATTTAAATTTATAGACTTCATTCAGTCTACTATTCTACGTAGTTAATTATTAATTTTAAATTATGAATTGAGTTAGACACAAATCAATTATTATGCAATACATAAGCAATTTTAATTTCTGTGTAACTAAAGTAAAAAGTGTATTTAGAAAATTTGTAATCATCTAAATTAATATTTTCCATGCTTTTACAAGTGATTTGTCGTGTCCAATTAAGTAATTTCAAACAGTGAGACTTGTGTTCAGTTTTGCCATTAATTTATCTAATTTGACATTACTAAATTTGTCGGTTATCTTGTTAGCGTATAGTTATTTAACCGAGTTTTTTTTGTGAATCATGATATTCTTGACAAAAGCCTGAAATAATATTTATTATTATTGATTACAGCTTGCTTATGAATAAGTAAAACAAATAAAAATAAATAGATAATTTTGCTATAGTCTTCATGCTTTGCGTTTTTCTATTTTCCACTGGTTTTAAGATTGTATTTTGGTACAAAGTGTGGTGTTGATGTTATAACGCCTCTTTCAGAAAATTGATTCGCAGTAATAAGGAGTGTTCCATGTCTAGTGGCATTTTCAGGCTTATTTTTAGAACAAACTTTTATAAAACATTATTTTTTAAAAGATCTCTATCCATTTTATAATTGCGTTGCTCTAGACGAGAAGTTTTAACCATAGCACATGCACTTAAAGTTAAAATGAATGGCGACTGGTCGGACGACCGATCCTAACTGGACAATATATTTAATTGCATTCTTTTTATAATTGCAGAACCATTCAATTGCATACCGGGGTGGTTTTTTGAATCAATTGGCCAATATGTAAGAAACAAGATTAAAAATATGAGAGATTATTCTTGATAATCGCTTTTTCCAACTCGCGTCCATTTTTTTAAGAATCTCGGACCTAATGTGTTGAAAAAATTATGAAACTGATCACTTTTGATGTTGAGTTTGGATGCGTATTATATTGCCACTATGATAAAGTCAAATAGTAAGGTTTTTACCATAAATAAAGTTGCTTGTATGAGCTCAGTTTCAAATTTATTCGTGCGGACATATGGTAGATAGACAAATGTTATCTGGATGAGGAGTGTAGCAAGGCCAATAGTTGAATATTAAATGTTGTTTTTTATTGCAGATATTTCTTTAACTTCCCGTAGGATAAGTTATTGTAATCGTCCAAAAATCTGAATTGAAATTTTTTGCATTTCTTCACGTTTTGAAGGTTTCTGAATATTTTGGCATACAACAGAAAAAATTGATGTGTGTTTGCGTTTTGTGTGTCCGCACTTTTCCGTTCAAGTTTTCGGGTGCACAAATCAACCGATATTGATAGTGTTGATTAGTTTTTGGCAAAGGCAGATCCAGCCGTTTCGAAAATACGGAGCATAGGGTGCAGAAAATATAAATCGAGTTTTTGAGAGAACAGAGCATCCAATTTGAATGATCCAGAAAACATTCAATTCGTAATGGCGCGAAAAAGTGGTGATTAGAATTTAGCAAAGGCAGGTCTAGCTGTTTTCGATATACCAAAAAAAGTGCAAAAATGGCAGTTTTTGATAAAACAAAACATACTAATCGAATGATTCAAAAAACTTTCTGCTTGTGTTGAACATACGATTGCTTTTGGGAAAAGAAGTTTCATAATTTTGAACATCGAAAATTTTTTGAATTTTAATTTTAATTCTAGCTAAGTTCTACAGCTCACAAATAGTATATATTAAGTATATATATACTTCAAATAAATAATTTTATCTTCGCAATTCAGGTTATATAATTCATATAAATATTAGACAATGTCCTTAATTTCAAATTCGATTAATTGACTTTTGTTTAATTACTACTCCGTAAATATATATAAGTTATAGCATTTATAATAATCTATTTGAAACCATTTAACATTTCTCGAATACTTCATCACGTTAAGGAAGTTTCAGCAATTTGCCTTAAGGCACGGTGCCATACATTACCAGTTTTTTTATCCATTCATTATTATACAACAATCATAATATTGACAGAATTCTATAAGTTATAGGGTTAAATTACACATAAAAAAATAATCACAAAAAGAAAAAGAAAAAATAAGAATTTGTAAATAAGCATAAATGAAAATGCATTACAAATAAAAAAAAAAATAATAAATAACATTATAAAAAAATAAATTATAGTAATAAGCAATTGACTATGGAAACCATTTTTTTTCTATTAAGTTTTTTGTGTAGTTTTCTTATAGGCGAATTCTCAAGCCATTGTTGCATCAGCATGATTGTAGATGTTTGCATGATGTTTAGTACTGGTATTTTTGATGATATCCACTACAATAGGAATGTTGAGATCATCAGTATGATTTTGTTACTGACAAGCAATGGGACAGCAGTAATCGTCCGTAGTGGTTTAGATTGTAATCGTTGAATAAGACCCACATTTGATTTACAACAACATTTCCACAGTTAGATACCATAAGTCCATACAGATTTGATCACGCTCGATATTGCTTGGGTTTGTGAATCACAATGCTGCTTACGAAATGCGATTTGATAATCTAGTAATATATTAGATTGGCATACTATATCTTCAAGCAGTAGTTTCTAAAAAACTTTCGACAGTGTGGGCAAGCGACTAATTGATGTGTAGGACGTAACCATACTTGTATTTTTTCCATTTTTGGGTATCATTTTAATATCTGATATTTTAAAAAACTTAAGCTATGAAAATGAATATTCAAGGTAATGTACGCTTTAATTGGTAATTCTTTTAACATTTTGAATGAAATATTATCAATCCCAGGAGATTTCCCACTATCAAGTTTAGCAATTCTAAAACAATCTTTTATTGAAATTGCCAGAAGTATGTTGGAGAAGCTGTGAATACAAGCTAATTATATTATATTCAGCTGCATGCGCTTGAGAAACTGAACTGAGATACTCAGCAAAAAGTTCTGCTTTTTCCTTGCAAAACTAGATGGTTCAAGAATAATTTTCCATTGCAGTTTCAATTTCTGTCTCAGTTTTCAACTTTGTTTGAAAATGTTATTTGTTACCTCTAGTACAAAATATCTCCCAGTTTGTTTTGTTATTGCAAAACCTTAGGTTGCGAGAACAATTTTAAAAAGTTGAACTAGCTATTATTGGCGAATGGTCAGAGAAAAAATCATAACTAAAATGTACTTCTGCGTAAGATGGGTTTATAACATTAGTCATAAAAATTCCAATAAATCAGACTGTTTTCTGGTATCGCTGGGCCAATAATACGATAAAGATTCCGTGCACAAGCTTTTGTCTTTTGTCTTTGTCTTTATCTTTGTCTTTTTTGCGATTTATTACTCTGCACGCCCAATGTGTATGTTTGCTATTAAAATCTACAACTACCAAGAACTTGGATTATTGAATGTCATGGAGGACAATAGGCTATAGACAATAGAAATGGTATTTTCTTAAGAGAGAAGTTTTACAGTTATTAAAGTTGTTTGTAAAAATTCCTTTTAGTAATTTTCTAACTTTTAACATTTTGAATGAAATATTAGCAATCAGATCAGATTTTCCACTATCAAATTTAGCAATTTCTAAAGCAATCTTTTATTGAAGTTTACAGAAGTATGTTAGAGAGGCTGAGAATACAAGCTAATTATATTATATTAAGCTGCATGCAGTTGAGAAACTGAACTGAGATACTAAGCAACAAGTTCTGCTTTTTCCTTGTCATCACTAACCCAGCAGCCGGCTGTATTATTTCGTAGAGGTGTATTTCTGATACACGGTATTTCTAGTAGAGCTGTCAAGAACCGTCATTTTCAAGAACCGGTTCCAAAGTCCAAAAAGGGCCCGGTTCCGGGAGAACCGTTTCGGTTCCAACCTGGAAAAGTCCGGATCGATCCCGGAAAATTCCGGACGGCTCCGAAAAAAATCCGGCTACTTTTTTCTTATTTTTTTATTCAGTCACAAACATCCGTTTCAAGCTACGTGTTTCGCTTTTTGTACTTGAAATTTTTTTTGTAACCCTTTGAATTTTTTAATATAATTATAATTAATACTTTTTTGTGCATTTCTATTTAACTTCCCGTATGGTAAGTTATTGTAATGGGCCAAAAATAGGAATTGAAAATTTTTACATTTCTCGACGTTTTGAAGGTTTCTGAACATTTTGGCATACTTCAGAAAAAATAGATGTGTGTGTGTGGTTCAAAAAACATTCGATTCATATTGATAAGGAGATGTGCTGATTAGTTTTTGGCAAAGGCAGGTCCAGCAGCTACGAAGATAAAGAGCAAAGAGTGCAGAAAATAGAAATCAAGTTTTTGAGAGAACGGAGCATCCGATTTGAATAATCTAAAAAACATTCAATTAGTAATGATTGAGAGAAGTGGTTATTAGTTTTTCGCAAAGGCAGGCCCAGCCATTTCGAAGATAGGCAGCTAAATGTACGAAAAATGTCAGTTTTTGAGAGAACTAAGCGTCCGATTTAATTGATTCAAAGAACTTTCTGCTTGTCTTAACAAAATAATTGATTTTGAAAAAAAAATTTTTTTGTTTCAACTTTTTTTTTTTTTTTTAATTTTTTGTATATCGAAAATAATTCAAATTTTGTTTTAAATTCTGACTATAATTCTAATATACTTTGAACAAATAATTTCTACTTGCAATTCAGTTTATATAATTTTTAAAAATATTAGACAATGTTACAATATTAATAATAATCTATTTGGAAACATTCAGTATTCCTCGAACATTTCGTAACGGTACGGGAAGTTCCAGCAATTTGCCTTAAGACACGATGCCACCCACCCCACTAGTTTAGTTATATATTTGTTTGCCATGAATGCAATTCTCAAATTGGAAATTGTACATTCGAATAATATTTAGTCTGCTTTCATTATTAGCTTTTATATGTAATTTTCATGAACTTCTAAATAAATAATT